GCTCCAAGCAAGAAGACCAACTATGTTGTGCTAGGCACCGATGCCGGCCCGAGCAAACTGCGGAAGATCCAGGAGATGGAAATCAAGACAATCGACGAGGATGGCTTGACGGTGCTTATCGAGAAGCTGACGGCGGCTGGCAACAAGGGCGACAGCAAGGCACAGGCCGAGCACGCTGAGAAGCAACGCAAGGAGGAGGAAAAGATCAAGAAGCAAGCTGCAGAGCTTGAGCAAGAGGAGAAGAAGCGTCAGAAAGAGCTGTCGGCAGCAGCGAAAGCTTCCGGTAGCAAGACAGCCTCTGCCGTCACAGCAGCTGCTCAGAGTGCAGGCCCGGCCGTAGACTCCCGTTTGTGGACTACCAAGTATGCACCCACATCACTCAACCAGATTTGCGGCAACAAGGCGACGGTTGAGAGGATCCAGCGCTGGTTGCAGATGTTTCCAAAGAACCTCAAGACTGGCTTCAAGCTGGCTGGCAAAGACGGTAGCGGAAACTTTCGTGCCATCATGCTACATGGCCCACCGGGTATTGGCAAGACTACCGCAGCGCATCTTGTCGCCAAGCTGGAAGGCTACGATATCGTCGAGAGAAACGCCAGTGATACCCGAAGTAAGAAGCTCATCGAGGACGGTCTACGTGGTGTCCTCAGCACCAATTCACTCCACGGCTACTTTGCTGGAGACGGAAAGAAGGTTGAGGCGGCTAAGAAGAAGCTCGTCTTGATCATGGATGAAGTCGACGGCATGTCTGCGGGTGACCGTGGTGGCGTCGGTGCGCTCGCAGCTGTGTGCAAGAAGACGGAGGTTCCCATGATCCTCATCTGCAACGACAGGAAGCTGCCAAAGATGAAGCCCTTCGACTACGTCACGTTCGATCTGCCTTTCCGACGGCCCACTGTCGACCAAGTACGATCACGCATCATGACCATTGCATACCGAGAAGGCTTAAAGATGCCTGCTCCAGTTGTTAATGCACTCATTGAGGGCAGCCACGCCGATATCCGGCAGGTCGTCAACATGATTTCCACCGCCAAACTCGATCAAACAGCCATGGATTTCGACAAGGGCAAGACGATGTCTAAAAGCTGGGAGAAGCATGTCATCTTGAAGCCATGGGACATTACGCAGAAGATTCTCGGTGGTGGCATGTTTGCCTCGAGCAGCAAAGCCACACTCAACGAGAAGATTGAGCTCTACTTCAACGACCACGAGTTCAGTCCGTTGATGCTGCAGGAGAACTACCTCGGCACAAACCCGATGCAGTCCTTGAACTACTCTGGCAAAGAGAAGAACCTGAAGAATCTGGAGTTGGCGTCGTTAGCAGCCGACAGTATCAGTGATGGTGATCTCGTGGATCGCATGATTCACGGCTCTCAGCAGCAGTGGAGTTTGATGCCTACACACGCAGTCTTCAGTTTCGTCAGGCCTGCAAGCTACGTTGCTGGTAGCACTGCTGGAAACCAGACGCGCTTCACATCATGGCTTGGAAAGAACAGTTCCACGAACAAGCTGAGTCGAATGATCAAGGAGATTCAAGCTCACATGAGGCTACGATCGTCCGGTGACCGACACGAAGTCCGGCAGCAGTACGTCCCACTTCTCTGGACGGACCTGGTGCAAAAGCTGCAGAAAGAAGGCAAGGACGCTGTCCCACAAGTCATCGAATTGATGGACAGCTACTACCTAACCAAAGACGACTTCGACGCCATCATGGAATTAGGCGTCGGACCCATGGACCAAGAGAAGGTCAAGATTGATTCACAGACCAAGTCCACCTTTACCCGACTGTAAGTCCCCCCTCATCTTACTATCACCCCCTTACACCACTAACACATCCACAGCTACAACCAACAATCCCACCCCCTCCCCTTCATGAAAGCCTCCTCCGTCGCACAGCCCAAGAAAGCAGCCAAAGAGAAGCCCGATCTCGAAGAAGCGATTGACGAATCTGACGATGGCGAGGTTGTGGATGAAGTCAAGGATGAAGAGGAGGATGTGGATTTGTCAAAGGATAAATATGTTAAGCAGCCTAAGAAGAAGGCCGCGCCGAAGAAGGGTGGTAAGAAGAAGAAAGAGGAGGAGGACGGCGAGGATGAGGAGGAAGTTAAGCCTAAGGGTAAGGGCAAGGCGAAGGCTGCGCCTAAGGGGAAGAAGAAGTGAGGTTGAGATTGTTAGGGAGGGAGTGGAAGGGTGATGGGCGTGGGTTTGTTGTTCGGTGTGTATGATATGGATAGGTTTAGAGGAGGTGGAATGGTTTAGTACTTCATGGCGTATCTACAGAGCGAACTTAGTTAGTTCGCATGTTTTGAAACAATATAGTCAAAATGGAAGTAATGTATACGTATGCTGTCGGGTACAAGGTGATTTTCACAATGTGTGGCCTGTAGCGTGAAGGGCAATTGGGTGAACCTTGGAAGGTGGAGTGATGTGACGCTTGCTCGGCTGGGTAAAGTGCAGGCCCCGCCATTCTGCCCTGCATGCATTTGCGTGCGGTCGACGTCAACGATCCGTTTCGCGCCAGTGCCAGCGCAAAGCCCACTCAAGCTTTGTCGCATTGTCTCTGCCCTTGACCCTCTTAATCGCGGCCACTGCCGGTTGTACTTTCTTTTCGCATACCCACTCTCTACCCGCTTCCACGACCGTCTGATCTTTTCGAGATTCTGCAAAATACCCGCATCACATCGCGATATTTGTCTGACGGTTGCGAGACGGTGATCAAGCTGATAATCGCGTGCGTCACTAGTCTTGGTATTCAGGCTTGGAAGTTGGGCAATTCCAACCTTGGGGTCTGACAGTCAGCCTGGTCCCCGCTTGCAGTTCCCCACTCTTCTGCCCATCACACCTGCGATCAGCGCTGCACTCACGCCTCAGCCATGGAGAATAACCTGAGCGCCGCCCGAGCCTCCCGGCGCTACCTCGATGAGCGCCTGCGCAACGACTGGGAGTATCCCGACGTGCCCGCCATCTGGTCAGCCTCAGACGAAGAGGTTCGCGACGCCGCCGACTTTCGCGAGCGCTACTACGGCGAGTCGGAATCTGGAGACTCGGATCAAGAAGATGAAGGTGTCGGCCCGTACAGGTTCGACAACCCAGAGAGCATCGGCGATGCGGTAGCGAGCACCAGGGAGGCGCGCAGAAGGCGCCGTAGAGAGAGGCTGGAGCGCGAGATGAAAGAGAATGAAGGACTGAGGATCTGGGTCGAGCGACGAGACGTGTGGACGGGCGCAGCGAGCGTGAAGAAGTACGGCACGAACCGCCAAAGACAGGCCAACCGCCCGTCTTCAGCCGCAGGCTACTCGTCCGAAGAGCACGCCGTCACACCCACCGGCTCGGAATCGCACTCCATCACCAGCGCCACGCCCGACACCTTCGACCTCGTTCCTGTCGCGCCGCGTCTTCTCGAGGATAACCCGATCCGTGCCTCCATCACCCCCAAAGCATACCGCGACATCTTCCAGAAGATTGTCGTCTCGTCGCGCACGCCCTCAGTCCCCATCAACCTCGCAGACATGACCAAGGCGCTGGTACAAGGCTGGAAGGACTCGGATGAGTGGCCTCCACGGGTAGCTGCAGTTGACCCTCTTGCCGGTAAGAAGCGCACTATTACCGGTACTCCATCCAACGGCCATCATGGAGGTTTCATAGCCCGACACCCCCATCTGGAGAAGAGTGTAGACGGCATGAAGCGGATCCTGCATCTCAACGGGCACCACGAACATGGGCACGAACAGGACAAGGAGCAGGAGCAGGCTGGGAAAGAGGGCTGAAGCATAGTCGCGGATGAGTCAGTGCTTGTCCTTCACAACGCTGATGCATAGACCATGCAGGAAACACCCTCTTCCACGCTTACCGCGGTACCAACGACGCTCTGCCTACGCCAGTGGACCGCACGAATCTGCTGCGTGCTTCACTATCCTGGCGCGCCCCTCCGATCGATGCGAGCAAGGGCAATTTCTGGTCGACGGGGTAGGGTTGTGTGCACGCGCGCAGCCGATAACGGAAGATGAGCATGTCGAATGTCTACATCGAAGCAAAGCGACCTCGGCAATAGAAGTCACAGCTGTGTATTACGAGATGAAATACTACGGCAGTGGTGTTGGGCTCCGAAAGATGATATGAGGGTCCGAAAAGAGCTCGCACGTATCTCGGCGATCGATCTGATTAGATTGACTGATAAGATAAAATTTTACTATGATACCCCCACATCAATCCTAGCTTTTACTACACATGACCCGCTGAAATCGCCTGATGTACTAATACTTACTGCGTGCGTCCAGTCCAGCCCCGTTCCTTGATGTACGAAGCAGCCGGTCGTACTAGGTATCGTACTAGATTGTGCCCGCCCCAGCAAGATCAGCGTCGAGAATTCGGCCGATAGTGTAACGTCGGTCTGTCGGCCGCTGACGCGAGCGACTGCCCAGGTGCATTTACTAGCGACTGCGGTCACTTTACATGGGTGGGTGGGGGAGGTGGAGGGGAGGAGGTGGGGCGGAGGTGGAAGTTTGCCTGATATTTCAATTCTAACGTTCTTGATAATACAGATGAGAAGCCTTTTGGAGAGACGCAAAGTGAGTAACCTGAAGGTGGCTGATGTTTAGCGTTGGACGTGGGCGGGGCTTGTATGCGACGCTTGTGGAGCGTCGCCTTGCCACAGCCTAAAGCTATCCTTGAATGTCGCTCGCATCGCTCCATCTACTTCGCTCTTTCGGGCTCGTCGGCCGCCGACGCATCCATGTGGACACCATGACAGTCAGACCGTTGGCAGTCGAGCAGTGGGTAGCCGCTGTACTGCAGCGTGATGATCCTCATACCAGGTACAAGTGACGGGGTGTATTTGTCCCGCAGGCGCATAAGTGTTTGCGATAGCCAGCTCTTTTCTTGCCTGTATTCTCCCGACGTGGCTTTTACTCACTGATTAAAGACGTCTTTTCGTTAAGACTCTTCTTTCTCCTTATCGATAATAACCTACCACATCTTCTTAACTTTGGAAGCAAACAAACATGCCAGGCACACTCCAACCGCCCCAGCCGAATGGCTTCCCCCCCGGTCGCCGCGGAGTCTACCTCCTCACGCACCCCCGCTCAGCATCCAATCTCTTCCAAACCATGATGTCCAAGCAGCCCGGCTACCAGAACTCTGGCTACAAGCTCTTCGACGGCGGCTTTGCGACGCTGATGAATCTCGAGAAAGGGCCGCTGAGTGAGTGGCCTGAGGAGGAAAGGACAGCGTTATATGAGACGTTCAAAAAGGCGTTTGGCAGCTTGGAGGACGAGTTGGACGATTGCGCGAAGAATGTAAGTAGGGAAGGAAGAGATGAAGTCGAGATGTGGGGTTTAAAGTTATAAGGCAAGGCTGCGCCACAACCGCACATGCGCCCGTCGTGATCCGCCCACGAGATGACGTGCTCGGGCTGGCCCGTCCCACTCCTCGCTATCCAAGTCTCGTCTACAACACCCAACTAACAACATCCAACAGAACAAACAAGCCTTCGTAAAAGAACACACAATCTTCCTCTCCGGGCCAGACCGCCTCTTCTCAACCGTCTACCCGCACGACAACCCCCCAGCCCTAACCATCCACCAACGCAATGAATCCCCCTCCTCCTCCTCCTCCTCTTTACAACACACAAACCCCACCTCCGTCCCCGACTCCCTCCTCCTGACCCTCCAACCCATCTTCCAAATCCGGCATCCAATCCTAATGTTCCCGTCCATGCTGCGCGCGCAGAAAGATTCCTTCCCAGACATGTTCACGAAGCCCCGGTCGTTGTACACATGCACAACCTACACGCTGAAATACACGCGCGCGCTGTATGAATGGTATGCAGAGCGGGAGGCCACCTCAGGCATCGTCCCCCGCATCATCGACGCCGACGACATCATGAACAACCCGCTTGCCGTCCGCCAGTTGTGCCTCCAATGTGGCCTCGACCCCGAGGCCGTGCAGTACGAGTGGGAGGAGAAGAAAATTGAGGATAATCCGCTCATGGCCCGGTTTCTGAGTACGATTAATGCTAGCAAGGTAAGTCTTTGGTTGTTACGGAATGCTTGTGAGATGTATGTTGACTTTCTGCAGGGGATTAAGAAGGGGTATGAGGCCAAAGGTTTAACGATGGAGGTAGAGAGGAAGAAGTGGGTGGAAGAGTGGAATGAGGAGTTTGCGGCGGATTTGGAGGATTTTGTGAGTAAGGCGATGGATGATTATGTGTTTCTTTGGGAGAGGAGGGTGAAGGGGGAGTAGATGGGTGGATGGGTTGGGGTGATGGTATAGCAGTTGGTAGTAATGATGTTTCTCTTTTCGAATGTGTCTTGCAAGCGCTGGTGTACAAAATAACAGAAGCTCCTTCATAACTGTGATATGAAAACCATCATGGAAGCTGAACACCAGAGAACTCAGCGCAAATCTCCAGCAGCTTGTCCTGAGCCTTCTCATCCTCTGTTGCCTTATGGGGTGTGCCTTGTCGCTTGTTCGGATGGAAATAGCACCCGCTCATTTTGGCCTTCTCTTCCTCTCCCTCAGCAAGCATAACGTAACTTTCGACCGCCGCATCAACGCTGCCTGGCGCCGAACTGCCACCCATCTTGGTAGCCACCCAGCCAGGATCCAATGCATTGCTCTTCACGTCAGGCCATCTGTGGGCGAAAGCTTTGGCAAGCAAGACGTTGTGAAGCTTGCTCGCGCAGTAGGCAGCATTCGCGCTGTATTGGCCTTCGCCGCGTTTCTGCCAAAGGACGTCGTCCAAAGTAGGAGAACCTGACTGATGCATCTCGGAAGAGAGAAATACCAAGCGCTTGGGACGGGTGATGAGTGCGGTGAGTACATATGGCGCTACAGTGTTGACGGCCGCCAGGGCAGGAATCCCCTCGCTTGTCTTGCGGAATGGGCCTTGATAAAGTCCGGCGTTGTGAATCACGCAGTCGAACGCTCCCAGCTTATTGACTTCGTTTGCCATGTTCTTGGTCTCTGCAAGGCTGGACAAGTCGCCCGTCACGACTGTGTCAGCCCCAGGACAAGCTGTCGTGGCGTCCTTTGCACGTTGAGCGTTGCGCGCATGAAGAACTGCATCGCATCAGCGCCTGGGTGATGTTCAAGACGGGCATCTTAGATACATACCAACAGAATGTCCATTTGCGACGAGACGTTTGGCGACGGCTGATCCGAGACCGTCGGAAGAGCCTGTGATAAGAATGCGCGCCATTATGTGGTGTGTTTCTAGGTGGGCTAGTGTTCGCAGGCTTAGACGGAACCCGTGGGCGTGAAGAAGAGGCGTGAGTTTGGTGGAAAGTGGCTATTGCTACGGCCGTTGTGGCGTCGTTACATCATGCCACTACAGGGACCGTAGATACGATGCGCTCGCACTCGCAGCCGGAAGTTACGGACTCCCGTGTGTAAACGGAACGGGCATGGCGGGGAAGAGACGGCTTGGCCCCAGCGACGCCCACCAACCCAGCCGCCTGCCCACCTCATGCCAGGCAGCACTCTGACTCCGACACTATTGGACCACGACAACATACCTTAATTCACCCCATGTCGGTGCGGCGCATTAGCCAGTGCTTATTTGCGATAAGCTCATCGACTAGGTGCGCCTCGTATGGATGTGTGTGTGCCAAAGAGCTCGGGTTTGACGCATCTCGGGCCAGATTGATCTCGGGTCAGGCGTGCCTCAGCGCACCAGGGCTGAGCTTTGGACGCCTTGAGTACAAGACCGTCACAACTTTGAGGTATATAACTAACATGTCGCGCTGATGATGATGCTTCGATAGATTGTCGTCCAACATCTCATCTACACCATGTCTCTCACCAAAGCACCCCAGCTCAAAGTTCTTGTCAATGGCGCTGGCATTGCAGGATCAACCTTCGCCTACTGGCTCACCAGAACAGGTCTCAATGCCTCCATCACTGTTCTAGAACGCTCGCCATTCCCTCGCCCCACCGGCCAGTCCATCGAGATTCGCGGTCCAGCCATCTCCATCGTCGAGAAGATGGGCCTGCTGCCAAGCGTACTTGCACGCAACACCACAGAAGAGGGCACACGCCTGATCAACGCACAAAGTAAGATCGTCGCCGAGTTCGGAAAAGGCGGCTTCACATCCGAGTATGAGATCTTACGATCAGATCTCTGCGGCCTATTCTTGGATGCGTCAAAGGGAATGAAGAACGTAAACTACGTGTACGGCGACTACGTCACAGCGGTACAGCAAACAGACCAGACGGTGGATGTGACCTTCAACAGTGGAGCCAGAGATAGCTTCGACCTCATCGTCGGTGCAGACGGCTCCGCATCACGAACACGAACCCTGATCCTCGATGAACAGACACGAAAGGGAAGTTACAACTTCATCGGGCAATACATCGCGTACTTCAGCATCCCCCGCATCGAGTCGGACACGAAGCACTGGTATTGGTACAACGCACCAAAAGGCCGAGGCTTGATGATGCGACCGCATCGTAACGGAAAAACAATTGGATGCTACGTGGTCGTCACAACGCCAGCACATGACCACTACGATGCGCTCGCCGAAGCAGCGTTGGAAAGCGGTCCTGAGAAGCAGAAGGAGCTTCTTCGTATATATTTCTGCGATGCGGGCTGGCAGGCTGAGAGGATTCTTGCTGGTATGGACGAGTGCGACGACTTCTATATGAGCCGCTCGGCGTATGTCAAGCTTCCTACTTGGACGAATAATCGCGCTGTACTTATTGGCGATGCCGCCCACGCCACATTTGGTGTTGGCACTTCGCTCGCCGTCGAAGGCGCATACTTCCTCGCAGGCGAGCTCGGCAAGATCAAGCACAGCAACGACATTCCGGCTGCGCTCAAGCGCTACGAAGCGACGTACCGTAAGGTGCAAGGTGATGGTGCAGACTTACCGCCTGGCTTCCCTCAGTTTGCTTTTCCGCAGACAGCATTGGCAATAAAAGTACGCGACGCGCTCGCGTGGGTGTTCTGCAAGACGAAAGCTCACAAGCTACTACCGGGTGACAAGCCGGATGATTCGAAGCTGCCGCCGTACGAATGGGTCGCGGTGTGAGAAGGGGGGTCTCCTCGCCGTCACGTGTCTATTCTCGCCTCTATCTGGGCTTCTTTCCTTCACAACACCGATACCAAATGCGATCACTCTATTGTCTCAATCCTGTTATCTATTCTATATGCGCTGACGAGCAAACACATATGCGCGACCGGAACCGCTCATATACTCACAGTATACTTCGCTGTCTATTCCATGATCTTTTGCGATATAAAGAACCTCCTGCGCTGTCTCAATATGAGCAATACACTCTACTACAGCATCTTGTTACGGCGTCATTCTTTGCTTGTTCTTTACAACATTTGTGCAATTTGCATTTTCAGCAAATCTAGCATCAGCTCACGATGACCCTCGCCGAACTATTTCCTGTGCGACATGCGTTGATCGCACTGTTGCCAGAGAGTAGCCACGATCTAAAGCTACCTCTACTCTACCTGTCAACCAGCCTCACAGAGTGGCCAATCTACCAGTCTCTGCATCGCAACATCTACCCAATCTCCTTCCTCTTTGTCTTCCTCCTCCGCTACCTCCGCGTTCTCATCAGTCTATACGGCACCTATAGATACCGGCCTACACCTATACCGCCCAATCCCACATACCACATCAATGATGTCACAGTCATCATACCCACCACAGACCTCATGTGCGAAACCCTGCATCACGTTGTCCGCTCCATACTCAACCAACGCGTACCAAAGCTCATCATCGCAACCGCCGGCACACAAGCCGCTGAACAGTTTCGCTCTTTCCGAGCTTTGTTCCCAGAGAGCAAGGTCGTAGTGGCCCATCGCGTCAAGGCCTCCCGCCGGGAACAAACAGCACAAGCACTCAAGCAAGTCGAAACGCGGCTCGTCATTCTCCAGGACGATCACACATACTGGCCCCAATCCCCGCGCTTCATCGCCTCCGTCATCGCCCCCTTCGAAGACGCAAAAGTCGGTGCCGTGAGCGCCGATTTACAAGCTCGGCACCGCGGCCACCCCTTCTCCTGGATTGGATTCTGGAATTTCATGGGTATGACCTACCTGATGCGCCGTTCCTACGAGTACCGCGGCACCTACGGCATCGACCGCGGACTATCAACCTTACCAGGCCGTTTCGGCGTCTTCCGCACGACTATCTATGCATCGCCCGAGTTCCTAAACGGATACCTAAACTCGTACATGCCCTTCAAAACCGAGCCTCTTAACTCCGATGACGACAAGTTCCACACCCGCTGGCTGATTGAACATGACTGGAAAATGGGTCTGCAGGCTGGTCTCGATAGCGTTATGACGACGGAACTGGGCGAGTGGCCCAAGTTCATGAGTCAAGTACTCCGCTGGACACGCACGACTTGGCGCAACAACCCGGCGCAGTTGATGGGTAGGCTGACGTGGGTGCGTCATCCCTTCATGTCGTGGAGTCTGCTCATGTGGTTCTTCCGTCAGTCGCTCACACAGGAAACGTGTATGTATATGACGCTTCGTGGTTCCCTGAAGCAGTACGGAAAGACTGATTACTTCCCTATCAGCGCATCTGCGCTCACGCTCTGGATCTTGTCGTTCAAGTTTGTCAAGATTCTGGAACACTTTCGCAAACATCCTGGCGATATCGTGTATTTTCCGGCGTATTTGCTGTTCGGCCATTTGCATGCGTTTGTTAAGATTTTCGCGTTGCTTACTTGTATGAACGCGAGTTGGACTACGGCGGAGAAGGTGAATGGGAATCTGGGAGCGGGAAAGACACCGCAGTCTGAGTCGAAGGCGCACCCTATTCATTCGGTAAAGATAGAGGACGGGGTAGCGGAAGACAAAAGCCAGGAACCGGCTGAGAAGCGGGTGGCTTTGGATGTACGACCAGCTGTTCAAGATCGGCCCAAGCGGCCGGCCATGTTTGTGCGCAGGTCGCGCTATTACTCTCAAGCGCCAGGCGTAGGCGGATGGTTGGGTTGATTGCTGTCGAATATGTGTAATCTTCCACTCTTCTTCCGCGAGCGCAGCAAGTGTTACTAGCATATCACGAGCTAGATCAATAACTTTAAATCGGTGCTGTTCATGACACTTGATTGCAGTGGAGAAGCTCTCCTCGAGTTCCACACTCACGCTCATGCTTGTGTGAAAAGACTTGTCGGCTAAATCCACGCTCAGTCTCTTCGGCGCAAGGGAATCGTGGGGTACTGGTCCTCCGCATGTCTGATACGAAGTGTATATAGTAGCCTCGATCGGAGGGCACGGAACAATATAGAACGCGCAAATCACCACACGATACTGATGAGATCTGCGCCGAATGCAGATTGAACGATACGATGAACAGCCTGTTTAAGCCCCACATCTCAACCGCAATGCATACTTCAGCAAGATGCTCTCCGCTGTCTTGCTCATTTCATCATCGCTGAAAGCATCATGTATTCTGTATTGTCGCATCTTGTGGCCCTTGCGGCCATATCGCATGTCACTTTGGCAGTCTCTCTGGAAAGTCGCCAAGCGCAGCAGAAAGTCACCATCGACCTGACGAAGAGATACCAGACGATTGACGGCTTCGGCTTCTCAGGCGCATTCCAGCGCGCAAATCTCATCGTCAATCTGCAGCAGCCCAAACAGCGCGAGGTTCTCGATCTACTCTTCAACACGACCACCGGCGCTGGCTTCTCAATCGTGCGCAACGGTATTGGCTCGACGCCCAATAGCAACAGCGATTTCATGAACACGATCCTTCCCAAATGCCCAAGCACACCAGCGGAAGTCACTACGAACTACAGCGGATACGTCTGGGATGCTAAGGATAGCGGACAGTTGTTCCTCAGCCAGAGAGCACAAGAGTATGGCGTAAATACCTTCTACGCGAATGCATGGAGTGCGCCTGGATGCATGAAGACAAACAACCAAGAAACCAACGGCGGCCAGCTCTGTGGTGTACGTGCATCCCCGAGGTTCCCTCATCGCGTCCGCTAACCTGCCCCAGGTCTCTGGTACCAATTGCCGCTCTGGAGATTGGAAACAAGCCTACGCAAACTACCTCGTCGCATACATCAACTTCTACGCATCCGCCGGCGTCAAAGTCACACACCTCGGCTTCCTAAACGAGCCCGACTTATCCACCTCGTACGCCTCAATGCAATCATCCGGCACCCGAGCCGCCGAGTTCATCAAAGTTCTCCGCCCCACACTCGACCGTGCGAACCTGACTTCCGTCGGCATAAACTGCTGCGAAGCAACAGGTTGGAACGTCGCAACCCAACACGCGCAGCAGATCGCCTCTGCCGGCGCCGAAAGCCTCGTCTACGCCATCACCTCACACGAGTACACTTCGCGCATCAGCGGCACCATGCGCACCGCCGCTCGCGTCTGGCAGACCGAGTACTCAGACTTGAGCGGCGGGTGGAGCACAGCCTGGTATTCCAACGGCGGTGCCGGCGATGGCTTCACCTGGGCGAACACCGTCTTCAACGGTGTCGTAAACTCCAATCTGTCTGCGTACATCTTCTGGGAAGGCGTCCAGGACCGCGCTACGAATAATAATAACAACGAGAAGCTCATTCTTGTTGATGGCCAGAACTACCAGGTTAGCAAGCGGCTTTGGGCTTTCGCGCAGTTTCGCGTCGTTAGGCCGGGTGCTGTGAGGGTGGGGGCGAGTGGTGGGGCGAATGTCAAGGCTGGTGCTTTTGTTAATAAGGATGGGAGTGTGGCGGTTGTGGTTATTAATTCTGCGGCGGGTGCGCAGAGTGTGAGTGTTGCGCTGACTGGGTATCCGGATGTGAGGGCGTGGTACACCGATAATACTCACGATATGAGTGCCGCGATGGTGACGGTGGGGAGTGATGGGACTGCGAGCGCAAGTGTGCCTGGTAGAGCGATGATCAGTTTTCTGTTCAAAAAGGCTGCGAATGCGACGATGTCGTAGAGTAGTGGATGTGGAGAGTGGCCTGGCGGTTCGCAGGGTGGGCGCGCTAGGCGCTGAAGCCCCACCGTGTGAAGGCGCCACTCCCGCGTGACATGAGCTGAGGTCGCATCTTCAACCTCGAACAAACACTGCCTTATCCTTCGCCTATCGTCAAATGCCATGTGCCTTCGTAACTGTCCAGTGGAGTTTGCGAGGCCCCTCCAATACGAGGCGGCATGCTCACGACGCGCTGAATGAAGCCAAAGCGCCTTCTCGACCCCGCTCACAGCTCGGTCCTTCTCCCCCAAGAAATCGCGTCACGCGTTATCGCATCGTATTCGCACGGCAACATGGCTAACTTACGATGCGGATCAGATTTCATGAGAGAGTTCGAGCAGTCACCGCCATAACGGCCAAGGCTCGGTCCGCAAGAAGCCTGAATTCTCCGGTGGTAGTCCGCAACGGGGAAAGGGGCCGATAGCTAATATTGAAAAGTGGACACTATCCACGATCTCCATGCTGGTGTTTCTATTTCCTGTCCACATACAGGGCACATTGGGCAACCTGACCGTGCTATACGAAGTGCGCATGAACATCGACATGTCCCGAAAGCTTCCAGGTGACGCTACGGGCTTGGTCTTCGTACAGATATAATGGTCATCATGGCTGCGATGCCAGACACGCATCACCCTCACGCTCGCTTTTGACAATGGGAAAGATCTCTTGCGCCATCGCGGCCCTTGTTCTGGGTGCGCAAGTTGCCGTGTCAACGCCCATTCATCCTCGAGTCCAACCGAATGCGATTGTACAACGAGCTGCAAATGACACGCCTGTGGCAGGCGGCATCATGCCCGGTGCCTACATTGTCGAGTTCGCGGATGACAATGAGACACCGGAGTCATTCTACGCGTCTCTTGCGGCCAGCGGCGTACAGGTTGAACCTCGCATGGACCTGAGCTTCCGTTTCTTCAAGGGTGTCTCGTTCCAAGTCAAGAGGTCGAGCTCGAACTCGACTGGCGGGGACTTTCTGCGTCAGATGAAGGCCCAGCCCCAGGTCGAGAACATATGGCCGACGCGCATCACCACACGTTCGGGCGAGGAAAGTGTTGCAGCACCCTCCCAGCAGAAGCGCACCAAGCGGCAAATCACATCCGAGCGCACCTTCTCCCCTCACGTCATGACCCAGGTCGACAAGCTACATGCAGAGGGCGTCACCGGTAAAGGCTTCCGCGTCGCTATCGTTGACAGCGGCCTCGACTACACCCACCCAGCACTCGGTGGATGCTTTGGTCCGGGCTGTCTGGTAGAAGCGGGGTACGATTTCATCGGCGACAACTACATACCAGGCAAGACAGACCCTGAGCCAGATGACGACCCCATGGACAATTGCGGGGGACATGGTACCCACGTTGCAGGCACCATTGCCGCTCAGCTCGAAGGCAACGAGTATGGCTTCACAGGCTCTGCTCCCGGAGCAAAGCTAGGCGCATACAGGATGTGGGGCTGCACATCAACTTCCACGAACGAGATCGAGCTGATGGCATTTGCTCGGGCTGTCGAGGACGGCGCAGACATCATCTCGTACTCCAACGGCGATGAGTCGGGCTGGGCGCAGGATGTACGCGCTGTCATCATCTCCCGCATTGTCGACTCCGGTATTCCAGTTGTGATATCCGAAGGCAACGGCGGAGGCCAGGGCATGTTTTACGCTTCTACGCCGGCAACGGGATACAGCGTCATGGGTACGGGAGCCGTGTCCAATACGAAATTCCCGACGTTCCTCGAGCGAGGCTCCTACACGACTGGTGCCAATGTTACCAGCAACGGCACGACCGACTTCGGCTTCTTGATGGGTGTACCTGAATTTGCTGCCGACACGACACTCCAGCTGTGGTCTGCTGCCGATGTAGATGACGCTTGCAAGCCCTTGCCCGATGACACACCAGATCTGAGCCAGCGTATGGTGCTTTTGGAGTTCAAGGATGCAAGGGCAACCCAATGCTATCCGCAAGATCAAGGCGCCAACCTCGCCGCGAAGGGTGCCCGATTTATCGTCTACTATGAGCGCAGCAACCTCACGATGCGGGACGAGCCATACGTCTACGCCGACGGGATCGAAGGAGTAGTCAAGGCTGTCCCATACGTTGCTGAGCGTTGGCTTTCCCTCCTTTCGCAGGGCAGCACCGTCTCCGTGACAATACCCGCGAATGGAACCCAAACGCACCTCGAGGAGCTTGAGAATAATGAGACTGGCGGATATGTCGCGGGCGAGCTGAGTAGCTGGGGCCCAAGCTGGGAGCTGAGCATGACTCCGCAGATTGTATCACCCGGAGAGAACATCCTGAGCACGTATCCGACGGCTTTGGGTAGCTACCGCGTCATGACTGGTACCAGCATGGCAACGCCGCTGGTCGCAGGTGTCTACGCAATGCTTGGTGAAGTATACGGCAAGTTGGAACCAGAGCGCCTTCGCAGGATCCTCACACACACGTCCAAGCCACTTGCATGGCACGATGGTACGAAGGCATACCCCGACATTCTTGCTCCAGTCGCCCAGCAAGGCGCCGGGCTGATCCAAGCGTGGAACGCTGCCCACACCACTCTTGAGCTCGATGTCGACAGTCTCATGCTGAACGACACGGAACACTTCGTCGGCACCCGAACCTTCAGCATAAAGAACACTGGCTCCACCGACGAGGTCCTCGACTTGGGCCACCGCAAAGCCGTCACAGTGTACACTTTCCAACCCAACGTCCCCGACCTACGTACAGGCGTGTTCCCCAACCCCGCCGTTGACTCATGGGCTACTGTCTCCTTCTCCTCCGACCGCATCAACGTCCCCGCCGGCCAGTCCGCCAAGGTCACCGTCGACATCACACCACCCGCAGGTGTCAACGCAACCCTACTCCCTGTCTACAGCGGCTTCCTCAGCATCGGCGACAAGCTCCACCTGCCCTATCTAGGCGTCGTCGGAAACATGCGCGACGTGCCCATCGCAACGGCCGACAAAGTCTACCTCGCGCAAGGATACTCTCCCGCGCCTGCGAACGTATCCTACACCATCCCTAGACCAGACCCCGAGAACCCGCCATTGACTGATCGTGGTGACATGCAAAACACACCGAATGTGTACGTTGGCACTCTAGTTGGATCGTCGTTGGTGCGCGTTGAGGTTATGCAGGGAGACAGGGTGCTGGGTGCGTTGGCGGGGTTCCCGCAGACGTACGTTGCGAGGGGTGAGGTGCGCGCGTACTTCAACGGACTTATGGCGGATGGTACAGTGCTTGATGAGGGGGTGTATAAGATGAAGGTTAGTGCGCTGCGCATTTTCGGTAATGAGGAAAGTGAGGAGGATTGGGATGTCTTTGAGTCGGTTAGTTTCGCGGTGAAGTACGCTGCGTAGTAGCTTTGTGATGCAGTTTCAATCCGAATAGATACATTTCTGACATACACTCGTTTCGCGTATTCTACTTCGTTAACTATGGAACATGCACGATAGCTTGCGTCGATCATCGCAATGCACGAGACCTCCCAGAGCCCGTAGCGAAACCACATTCCGTCAAGACGCAACCACGTGCCTCACACATTATCCCACAAGCTCAGTGAAGATAACAACGACAACTAAGCGTCCGCCTGATAACGCCGTGGAAAGCGCATCCAAATTCGGAAGGTCTCTCCAGGTTTGTGTGCGAGAGGGAAGGTGCGAAGTCGGTGTGTACGACCCACTTTTCCGCGGGGATCTCCTGCGGGAAAGGCGTGGGACGCGGAGTACACGTAGGGCGTGTGAGGGCGTAGGGCGCAAAAGCGCACGTAGATAAGAAGCCCGTTGCCGTTGCACCCGGAGAAGGAGGATAATTATCTGGCTTTAAGGCATTTAGTAGGATCAGGTAGGTTGTTGTGCTGTCGCCGTGTGGTTTGCGATTCCATTTCTTCTCATCATCTTCATTATCTTGCGGCTTTACGTCTCTCCTTCATAATCTCGCGTACTTCAATTCTTATTAGTCTATTGCTTTGCTCATGTTTTATTGTATCAAGTCTGCTTTAGGAAGCTATTGACTCTGCATCTCGCTTTTTCTTCGATGGACCCCCAGCCAAACGCGATGACAGCTCTTCTCGACATCGACCGCACTATCACGATACCAGCGCAGCATCCCTTCACTATGGAATCCTTAAGATAGGTCAATTGCGACGCGCTTTTAACGTGCGACAGCATTGGTAGACTGTGCAGAAGTCTGCTGCTTCCATGGCTATCCCAACGCCAAACGATCGACGTTGCGCCCCGAAACTCGATGCCACGAATATGAGGACTTCTAGGCGGCGGTATGCGGCTGATTAAACATCGCTCGGCTACCGCTGTGCATGATGGCGATCGCCAGTACAAGCAAAAGTCCCAAGAAGCACAACGCCACCATCTCACAAGATGAAGTCAATACACGTAAACATTCAGAAACAGCTTATATTCAGCCAGGGTATGATATATACATTCGAATCGTGCATATGCAACGCTAAAGAACAGGACTGGAGCGACCATGCAATCATGACGCTCTTTCCAACAGCGACGCTTAGTGACCACCGCTCGAGTTGGAGTTATCCGCGCAAGTCCAAGCCTTGGTTCCGCCATCCTTGTTGTACGAGTCGATAATGCCGGCAATGGAACCATAAGTACCACCGATGAGGAGGAACGTGCCAGACACAATGACGAAGACCGACCATGCGACCATGCCCTTCCACCTCCAGTCGCGGTTGGATCGGTGCCAGTTGTCGTACAGCCACATGCAGCCCATAGGCTGGAAGCTCATGAGAGTGCCGAAGAGAGCGCCGACAAGCGAGACGAGGCCGCCGAAGACCGGAATTGCGGATGCGATAACGTAGGCGGTTAGGGAGACGGCGGCGGTGAAGCCGAACCAGGTGATCCAGTGCTTCGTGGTGGGGTGGCTGAGATGCTTGGTTCCGCGCAGGGTGCGGATGAAGAAGTACTTGGCGACGAGCTTGTTGAGATTAGTATGTTGTTCGCAAGAAAG